AGACGTGAGGTGACGAATACATTGGCGAAACGGGCAGACCCCTCTGTGTCCGCATAAAAGAACACCTAGCCGGCAAACATTGACCAAATACTCCGCTAGGCACGCATAGGACCCAGAGACATAACGGGGAGGACTTTGAAGTATGTGTCACGATCCTTGCACGCGAATCAAGAACACAGGCGCGAAAAACTCTCGAGGCACTCTGGATTAATTCCAGAAATCCGAAAATTAATGACAGAGAAGAATGCCTCATTATCACGCGTGATATAGGGCAGTATATAAGACTGCTGTTCTGATGAGTGGGGCACATTATACTTCCATGTGATTTCTGTGCGGTTGGTCTCTACGTGACATACTTAGTGGAGACCTCATAGAAAGCGGTGAGTGTGCAAAGCTGTGTTCAAAGTGATTGAAATCTTGGTTTGGAGTTTCTTTGTTTGGTTATGGAGGCGTCTGGCCGAGTAGATTGCTGTCAACTTGACCTTTCCAGGTTCTGAGGAAGGCGAAATCCGCCGAAACGTCAGTTCATTCGTGAATAAAGAATAATAACACCTCGCGTTTGCTCAACTAAAATACGAAGAATTGCTATCGGTAGTGCTGGCTTATTACCAGGAGCACTGTTGTCGCCTTTCTAAGTGAATTCGTTACTTTCTCGGTAGACTTCTTTTCTCGGCTGAGTGCTTAATCGAAATTCAGGAGCAGTCCCTAAATTCAAATGGCAACATATTTACACGTTACAAAACTACTCTATAAAACAATCGTTGTCCGAACTACAGTAAATATGCTCAATTTCAGAAGCGTACCAGGTTACGTCGCCGATTGTCACGAATGAAAAGCGGCGAGAAAAAAGAGCCTCGGTCTGGGTCTAAAGGATACCACGTGGTTTAAAAAAATTATAATTTAATTGAAAGTTGATGCCTAGCACCTCCATTGTATATTTGACGATTCCTTGGAATCTCATTAGGAAACGATAAGGAAAATAGATGCTTTGCTGTTAGAGTTTTATTAACATGTGGAATGGTTATCACACTGCCTCTGTTTTCACTTAAAATGTCACATTCTTCGGGTATACTTGATTATCTGAATTGTCATTGAAATAAAGTGTTGGCATTCATTAGGCTGACACTCCTCTCATTACTCTTAACACTTGAGCACTTGGATGGCGCGTCCTCACTAGTTGTGTGGGACCTAGCAAATTTTCCATTTTCTAGAGTTTTGCTGGCTAAGCCATTGTGGTTTCCTGGTGTCCCGAGGTCAGCGAAGCCAGAGTCTACCCTAGGTTGTCACCACCTCGGGCGGTCACGGCCCTTGTAGATCAAGGGGAGATTTGTACCATGCGACTAGTTTCATACCAGGTCAGTGGTCGATCCTAGTATTGGTTTATTCTTAGCTGGGCCTCCTGACGGAAACGCCCAACTCCTTCTCAGCTTGGGAGACCTCACCGAGATGATGAATCCCGGCGCTGTATATCGCAGCCTGACACCTAGGAGCACTTCCAACCACCATTTCCATTAGCTATGTTTGCAAACGCTTTGCAAATGTAAACCTCTCTCCATTCTTCTTTAAATCTGGATAAGCTTTTTGATAAGTGCAGTGTTCACATAAAGTACAGTATGCAGTAGTTCTCATGTAATATATTGTAGGTTTTAGTGGCTCATGTATCTACCTGGCCCATTGATAAGCGTAGGTGAGGTTCCAGATCGTCGATCTAGTCATCTTAAGTGGTGCTTGATTCATGTCGCTTGTCTATCGTACAGCTGGAGATTCTGGCGATGCCACATGCTGTTCGCGATCGCCTGAATCCATGTGCAGCACTTCATGAATGAAGTGACAAAATCTGACGGAGCAGTTCTGTGCTGGGGATGGTTATTGACTTATTATTAACGCGAGAGCATACAAATTCTAGAGAGGTGTTGCGTCTGATGTCCGTTGACATTGTGGAAAAACCACTAGGTTTTTTTTGCAATTTTAGAAATTTCAGTTCTGTGTGGATTTCAGCGAAGCGTGTATAGCACAGTGGTCGGATTTACCCTAGGATATACGTATGGTCGTTAATTCAACTATAGGCTTCAGTTAAACCAAGATTTCTGTCCCTTCTGGGTTGACAAATCGGTACCATATCCGTCTGAGAGGATAAAAACCACTGACTTGATTCACCGATAGGCCCCTAAAAATTATTACATACGCCGAAAATGCAATCAATCAC